TTCGTTGCACCCATAAGGCCTTATTCATTATGAACTGTCTTGTGTCAAATGAGAACAGTTTTGCAACTAAATGATTTCCCACATTCAGTGCGCTCATAAGGTCACACACTAGTGTGAGTCTTCCTGTGTTGAATCAGGCGGGAGCTGTAACTAAAAACTTTCCCACATTCACTGCACTCATAAGGCCTTTCTCTAGTGTGACACCTTTGGTGGTGAATGAGGTCATTATTGCAACCAAATAATTTCCCCCATTCTTTGCACTCAAAAGGTCTTGTTCTAATGTGAGTTCTCCTGTGACAAGAAAGGTTATTGCAGCAGCTAAAAAATTTCCCACATTCAGTGCACTCATAAGGTCTTTTTCAGTGTGAACTCTTCCTGGTGAAAGTATTTGCTGCATTCACTGTACTCATAATGCCTTTCTCCAGTGTGAACTCTTTGGTGTTGAATGAGTTTAGTTTTACCACTAAATGATTTCCCACGTTCATTGCGGTCACGAGTCCTTGCTCTAGTATCCATCCAACTGTGTTGAAATAAGCAGAAATTTTGGCTAAAAGACTTTCCACAGTCACTGTACTCGTAAGACCTTGTTCCAGGGTGAGATCTCCTGTGGTGAGAGGTCACGACGCGGCTGAAGGATTTCCCACATTAACTACACTCATAGGGCCTTTCTGCAGAGTAAACTCTTTGGTGTTGAATGAGTACAAATTTCTTGCTAAAATACTTCCCAGACTCAATGTATTTGAAAGGCCTTTGTCCGGTGAGAACTCTGCAGTGTCGAATGCTGCTGTGTGGTCTCTCACTGCTGGGAGTGGCCTGATGCTGGAGAAGCCCTGAGGTGGCTGGGAAGTCCCTCACAACTTCCCCAACGTTGAAGGGCTTTCCTGATAAATGGAATCTGCAGTTCGGCACAAATGAGGCTTGAACTCCATCTATTTTAGAGTTTCTCTCCACTATCAATCTTCTGAAGCTGATGAAGATTTGCTCTCAACCAGAAACTTCCTGATGCCCCAACCAAGTGTAATTTCTGTCCAGGGTATGTGGCTTGGAGCTCAGCAAAAGCGTAAAGTATCTCTCAGGACTGGGATACAAATCACACAGGAGTCACTCTTACGGGTGCACGGCCTTGCCTTTGGAGTCCTGACCTGTGAGAGTCCTTCCACAGAAACACTCTCGGCAGAAGGTGCTTCCTCATCCTCTGCTCCATACAAACAGCCTGAAAAGAGCGAAATTTGGATGAAGTGCAGGTTCAATCTGGTGGGAGGGAGGAGTCCCATCAAGAATGTGTGTCAAACATAGCAAAGAGTCAGTCATAAGAATGTTCTCAGGATGTGAGAGTTGGTGACAATTTGAGAAAAGGAACTTTAAGGATAACAGGATGGGGCCGGGCGCTGTGGCTCACGCCCCAACCCGCGCATTTGTGGGCGCAGCCCCAGCAGAGTTCAGGGCTCCTCCGCTTTCCCATGGGCTCAGCGGAAGATGCCGCCGAGGCTGGGTTTCAAAATGGACTGGAAAGCGTTTCAGGAGGGCAGCGTCAGCCTGTACCCGCGGGGTAGGCGGGAATTTTACAGCGGGGTTGGGGAGCAGCCAAGAAACTTTGGGCACCGGCGTCAGGTGAGCCGTGGGGGCCCGGGAGCCCGAGATGCGGTGCAGGCCAGTGTGCGGGGAGGCGCACGGGGCAGAGGAGCCCTGGACTCTGCTGGGGTTGTGCCCACAAATGCGCGGGTTAGGGCTGGAGGCTGGGTGAGACGTGGGGGCAGCCCGGGAATTGGATGAGACCTCTGAAAACCCACCAGGTGCGAAGGGAACGCCCAGGCGGCGCCAGCTACGCCGTGAATATCCCAGGAGCTGGGCTGCTGACCTGGCTCCGGGAGGCCAGAAAGCCTATAGGGATGGGCCGGTGGCTCCAGAGCTCTCTCAGACTCACCAACTGGGTGCCCATCCCTTGGCACCCGACCCCCGCCAAGACACCTAGGTCCGGCCAGCCCCAGCGCCTTCATACCTGCGAAGTCCCTGTGGCCCCAGCTATTCCCGATGCTGGGAAGTTGTTACTTTCAGGGGGCTCTATGGCATCAGATTCCTCTCATTTGGTTTGTTGACAGAATTAAGTTCCATATGGTTGTAGGCCTGAGGTCTCAGTTTCTCTCCCCTACAGATCCTGAAGGTGTAATCCCCCCAAAACTTGCCCCCTGCCACCCCCTTGCTCTCCTGGACCCCTTCTGTGGAACATTCAAAGGAAGAATCCGCGTCACCTTCTGGATAGAGGCACATTTTCAGAAAGTCGTCTCCGCCCGGCCCATGCTGGGGAGGTCCTGCAGGTATGCTTGAGGGATTCACCGCCTGCGCGGCTGCAGGAGCCGCTCTCTCAGAAAGTGTCCTTTCCTGTCTTGAGTGTTCTATTATCCCTTCATGTAGCCAAGGTTCTCTCTTGTGTCCCCTTTCCCTCTCTTTCCCTTTTCCCTTCCTTCCTGTTCTACCCCATGCATTCATTTACAGGCCTCCGTCACAATTATTTGGTAAGATACCCATCTCCCTCCCCGCCACCAATTTCCCAGTATTAAATAAAAGTATTTTGTAAAAGCAGTTTTAGGTTCACAGCAACAGTGAGCAGAAGGTAACAGAGTTTCCATATAACCCATTTCTCCACAATACATTCAACGTCCCCCACTATTAACATCTCCAAACAGAGTGGCACATTTGTTATAATCAGTGAATCTGCACCGACACATTGTCATCACCCAATGTCCATAGTTTACATTAAAGTTCATTCTCACTGTACATTCTATGGGTTTTGGCAAAAGTATGACTTATCCATTACGGTATGCACAGAATAGTTTCACTTCCCTAGAGATCCTCTTAGTTCTACCTATTCATCCCTCCTTTATGCCTACCCACGAGCAACCACTGACCATTTTACTATCTCCATACTTTTGCCTTTTCCAGAATGCCATATAATAGAAATCAAACATCATATAGCTTTTTCAAATTGGCTTCTTTCACTCAGTATATGCATTTAAGTTTCCACCATGTCTTCATGACTTGATAGATTTTTCTTTGTAGTGCTGAACAACATTCCATTGTCTGGATGTACCATAATTAATTTACCCATTCACCTACTACAAGGACATTTGGTTTCCCTCCAAGCTCTGCTAATGATGAACAAAGCTGCTGTAAAATTCATTTACAGGGTTTTCCGTGAAACATAAATTTTCAACTCAATTGGATAAATACCAAGAGCATAATTGCTGGATTATATGTGTTTAATTTTGTGAGAAACTGTTAAACCATCTTTCAAAGTGGTTGTACCATTTTACATTCCCACCAACAATGAAGGAGAATTCCTGTTGCTCCATATCCTTGGCAGCATGTGGTGCTTTCAGTATTTTAAATTTTGGCCACTCTAATAGGTGTGTAGTGGTATCTCATTGCTTTAATTTGCATTACCTTAACGGCATAGTGATGTTGAACATCCTTTCAACTGCTTACTTACCATCTGCATATCGTTAGGAAAGGGTCCAGATCTTTTGCCCATTTTAAAATTTGGTTGTTTTCTTATTGTTGAGTTTTATGAAAGTTTTTTTTTCTGTATCTTTAGGGTAACAGTTCGTTATCAGATATGTCTTTTGCAGATATTTTCTCCCAGCTTGTCTTCTCATTATCTTGACAGTGTATTTCATGGAACAGAAGTTTTTTTTTTTTTTTTTTTTTTTTTTTTTTTTCGTTGTTTTTTTTTTTTTTTTTTTTTGAGACGGAGTTTCGCTCTTGTTACCCAGGCTGGAGTGCAATGGCGCCATCTCGGCTCACCACAACCTCCACCTCCTGGGTTCAGGCAATTCTCCTGCCTCAGCCTCCTGAGTAGCTGGGATTACAGGCACACGCCACCATGCCCAGCTGAATTTTTGTATTTTTAGTAGAGATGGGGTTTCACCATGTTGACCAGGATGGTCTCGATCTCTTGACCTTGTGATCCACCCGCCTTGGCCTCCCAAAGTGCTGGGATTACAGGCTTGAGCCACCGCGCCCGGCCAGAAGTTTTTTATTTTAATTGAGCCAAGCTTATCAATTATTTGTTTCTTTTTTTTTTTATCAATTATTTCTTTCATAGATCATGCCTTTGGTGTTATATCTCAAAAGTCATCACCATTTCTGAGGTCATCGTAATTTTCTCCTATGTTATCTTTTGAGTTTTATAGTTTTGCATTTTACATTTAGGTTTATGATCCATTTTGAGTTAACTTTTATAAAGGACATATAATCTGTCTAGGCTCATGCAGTCTTTTGTATGTGGATGTCTAATTGTTCTAGTAGCATTTGTTAAAAAGATCATCTTTTCTCCATTGTTTTTTCTTTGCTTCTTTGTCAAAGATTATTTGACTGTATTTTTGTGGGTCTACTTCTGGGATCTTTATTCTGTTTCATGGTTCTATTTGTCTATTCTTCCAATGCCATACTGTCTTCATTACTGTAACTTTATAGTAAGTCTAGAAGTCAGGCAGTGTTAGTCGTCTGACTTTGTTCATCTTCAGTATTGAGTTGGCTTTTCTAAGATCTTTTGCTTTTCCATGTAAATTTTAAAATCACGTTGTCAGTATTCACTAACTTGCTGGGATTTTGATTGGGATTGCATTGAATCTGTAGATCAATGACAATGACAATACCAAGTCATCCTATGTATAAATATGAATGTCTCTCCATTTATTTAGTTCATTTTTTATTTATTGCATCAGTCTTGTAGTTTTTCTCATATAGATCTTGTACATATTTTGTTAGATCTGTACCTAAGCACAGTTCAAACCTGTGTTGTTCAAACGTCAACGTACTTAAGACCTCAAAACCCGAAGCGCCTCAGTCGCCCTGGAGGGCGGGAGACGCAGCTTCCCAAGCATTCCCAGCCGTCTGCTCGCAGGGCGCCCTCCGCCGCAGCATTAAGGAGACTACATTACCCAGAAAGCCTTGCGTCGAGCGGCAGTACGACGATCCAACGCAAGTCCAAGACGGGGAGATTTCCGTGTGGGCGTACCCCGCGGAGCGGGACTGCTGGCTTATTCGCAGCGGTCATTTTGGCTGCCCTCCGTTCCGCTCTCTCCGTCAGCCGCTCTGGTGCGCCGCATCAGGACCGAAGTGACGGACAATGAAGGCGCGAGAGTCAGGTCTGAGAGTCGGGGGCAGAGCCGCCCGCGAGGCCGGCCTTGGGATAGCGGTGCTCGGGTTCCCGCCCGGTCGCCCGCAGCGTCCGGTCCAGTTCCGCCCGCCGACCCGGATGGCGACTGCACTGACGGACCCAGCTCCGGTGAGCACAGCGACCTCCGGGCCTCCCGAGACCGATATGCTTAAGTCCCAAGTGAGGGGCATCTGTTCATGTCTGTAGCTCAGAGTCGGGGACACTGAGGCTCGCGGGTGGGGCCCTTGTTTCTGACACCCGATGTGGTGGGCAGGGGGACAGGGGATAGGACCAGCGCGTCCAGATCTTAGTTGGGCGACCGAGAAGGGGCCATTCAGGGACCTGGACTCCACGTCGTCACTGCAGGGAACAGCGTTTGAGAGAGATCTACCTTTATTCTTAGGCCGCGGGAGCCATAGAGAGCTTGGGCAAATGGGAGATACCATCTGAGTTAGGATTTGAAAAATCCTCTGCGGGCTCTTCAGTGGAAGAAAAGACTAGAGATGTATGAGAACGTTGAGGCAGAGGGAGGTTGAGTATTTTTCTAAGGCCACAAAAACTGGTAAGAGGCAGCACTAAGGACTGAGGCACACAGGTTAAACAGTCAACCCAAAGTTACATGGCTCTGGGCCGGGACAAGGGTACAGGGAAGGCCTGTGTCCGTAGAGCACTGCCATGATCACATTCCTCTGAAGCTTGCGTCTTTCCACATGTTCCCATAGCTACAGACGTGCTTTCGGAACCTACATAGGTAAATGGAGGTATCTCACCCCCTCACTGGTCTGGAATGTCCCTCCCTCCCCAAACACAGATATTTTTCTTTAGATTTGTGTTGTCATGGGACTTAACTACCATTCTCTCAGCCGTTGGTTTGGGAACCCTGGAGAATCTCTGAGCCCAGGGTCCTGAGTCCAGGCCAGTGTTTCCATTTGGGGCAGCCCATGGAAAGGTGTGAAAGCTTATGTTAGGAACAGGTAGGTACCAGCTTTTGGAACTCCTTGGAGATAAGGCTGAGCTGGTTCAGGGAACTGCAGGTTTCCTTTATTTCTGTGAAATTTGGCATCTATTGTGAGGAAGTTGGAGTTTGGGATCAGAGGAGGGCAGTTTTTCTAATGCAAGTGTTGGTAGGATGCAGAGTGGAAAACACAATGACCAATGGGAATGTGAAGAGATAGCAGGGATCAATGACACCAAGATCTGATGTCTCTTCTGACTTGGGGAGCTTGGGAGGAGAAGGTGTGGGGACGTGGATTTTGAGTCTTTCAAAGTGAGACTGTTCATGGTTTCATCAATCCCTATTATGCTAGGGAAGTGTGACCTTTGAAGATGTGGCTGTGTACTTCTCCTGGGAGGAATGGGATCTCCTTGATGAGACTCAGAAACACCTGTACTTCGATGTGATGTTGGAGAACTTTGTACTTACGTCCTCCATGGGTAAGGCCCTCATACTCAACCCTTGTGCTCTGGACTAGGATCTGTGCTTCTTTCCTCAGGAGCAGCTCTGTCCTCTGCTTCTTTCCCCAGTTCCCTGGGTGGATGTTGTAGACTGAGTGCAAGCCTACTTCCCTTATCGTCCCAGCCCAAAAGCGTCTTGGGTAAGGATTTGGGATTAGTAGTCTTAAAGTAAACCTAATAGATCCCACCTGACTTGCCTTCTCCCTGTCTGGTGACTTTCTAGGTCTATGGCACCCGGGTTTCCCCCGCTTTGTGTACCTGACATTTATTTGTGCTTGACTGTGACATGAAATGTAGTTACTGTCATTGTCACTGTTTACACAGACTGTTCTTATAGAAATCTCCTCCAAGGTGTTTGTTTTTAATTGTAAAGTATATATAATAAAATTTACCATTTCAATCATTTTCAAGTATACGGTTCACTAGCATTTAGTACATTTACATTGTTATGCAGTCATCATCACCATCCTTCTATAGAAGTTTTTCATCTTATAAAACTGAAACTTTGTACCCATTAAACAATAACCCCTCCCATCCCCTGGCAACCACCATTTTGCTTTTGGTCTGTATGAATTTGTCTATTTACCTCATATGAGTGGGATCACACAGTATTTGTTCTTTTTTTTCTGGCTTACTTCACTTAGCATAATATCTTCAGGGTTCATCCATGTTGTAACATGTATCAGAATTGCTTCTTTTTAAGGCTGAATGATACTCTTTTATATGTATTACAGTTTGTTTATCCATTTCTTCATCAGTAGACACAGGTTGTTTTCACCTTCTGGCTGTTGTGAATAATGTTACTATGAACATGGGTGTACAGATAAGTCATCCAAATGGGTGTGAAGTGATATCTCATTGTGGTTGTGATTTGCAGGTTACTGATAGCATCTGTTCATATGCTGATTGGCTGTTTGTATATCTTCAAATGATGTTGTTTATTCAAGTCCTTTGCCTATTTTTAAATTGGGTTTTATTAATTATAATCAATTAGAAGTATTAAATATAACTTTTTATTGAGCTGTAAGAGTTATCTGTGTGTTCTGCATATTCCTTTATCAGATGTGTGATTTGCAAATGTTTTCTCTTATTCTGTGAGTTGCCTTTTTAGTGTGTTAATAGGATCCTTTGATGCACACATTTCTCATTTAGATGAATTCAGTTTTACTGCTTTACTTTTATTGTCTGTGCTTTTTATATCATATCCAAGGAATCGTTGACAGGTCATGAAGCTTTTTCTTTGCGTTCTTTAAGAGTTTTATGGTTTTAGTGCTTAAGTTCAGATCTTTGATTCTTTTTGATTTAACTTTTATATGTGGTATCAGCTAAGGGTCCAACTTCATTCTTTCGCATGTAGATACCCAGTTTTCCTAGCATATGTTGAAAAATCTGTCTTCGCCAGGTGCAGTGGTTCACGCCTGTAAACCCAACTCTTTGGTAGGCTGAGGTAGGCGAATATTAAGGTCAAGCGATTGAGACCATCCTGGCCAACATGGTGAAACCCCATCTCTACCAAAAATTCAAAACTTAACTGGGCATGGTGGCGCGCGCCTGTAATCCTAGCTACTCTGAAGGTTGAGGCAGGAGAATCGCTTGAACCCAAGAGGCAGAGGTTGCAGTGAGCTGAGATCACGCCACTGTACACCAACCTGGTGACAGAGCAAGACTCCATCTGAAAAAAAAAAAGAAAAGAAAAATCTGTCTTCTTTCCCCATTGAGTGGTCTTAGCCTCCTGTTCAAAAATCATTTGGCCAGATATTTGAGGGTTTATTTCTGGGGTTTCTTTTTTTTTTTGTTTTTTTTTTTTAAAGATGGGGTTTCACCATGATGGCCAGGCTGGTCTTGAACTCCTGACCTCAGGTGATACACCCACCACAGCCTCCCATAGTGCTAGGATTACAGGCGTGAGCCACCATGCCTGGCATTTCTGGGGTTTCTTCTAGTTCATTGGTCTATGTGTGTATCTTTATGGGACTAACACACTGTTTTAATTTCCATAGTTTTGCAATAAGTTTTGAAATTATGAAGTGTGAATCTTCCGACTTCCATCTTTTTCAAGATTGTTTTAGCTATTCTGTGTTACTTGATATTTCACATAAATTTTAGGATGGATTTTTCTATTTCTGCAAAATTATGTCATTGGGATTTTGATAGGTATCATATTTTCTATAGATTACTTTGGCTAGTATAGACATCGTAACAATATTGAGTCCTCTAGTCCATGAACATGCACGTAATGTATTTTCATTTATTAATGTTTTCTTTAATTCATTTTAGCTATTTTATTTTATTTTGGAGATGTAATTTCACTCTGTCACCCAGTCTGGAATGCAGTGGCACAATCTCTGTTCTCTGCAACTTCCACCTCCCGGGTTCAAGCAATTCTCCTGCCTCAGCCTCCTGAGTAGCTGGGATTAGAGGCATGTGCCACCATGCCCAGCTAATTTTTGTATTTTTTGTAGAGACAGGGTTTCACCATGCTGGTCAGGCTGGTCTTGAACTCCTGACCTCATGATCTGCCCACCTTAGCCTCCCAAAGTGCTGAGATCACAGGTGTGAGGCACCGCATTCAGCCCTCATTTTGGCAATATTTTGTAGTTTCCAGTGCACAAGGCTTTTACTTGTTTGGATAAGTTAATCTTTAATGTTTTATTCTTTTTGGTATAATTATAAGTCGAATTGTATACTTTCAAATTGTTCATCATTAATGTATAAAACGTAACTGATTTTTGCATGTTGTATTTGTATTCTTCTATTTGCTGAGTTTGTTTATTGTAACAGTTTTTTGGTGGAATCTTTATGGTATTTCATGTTTATCATCTGTGAACAGGGATAATTTCACCCCTATTTTCCCATTTTGGTCCCTTTTCTTTCTTTTTCTTGCCTAATTGCTACATTGAACAGAAGTGCTAAAAGTGGGCATCCTTATATTGTTCCTTATCTTAGAGGAGAAGCTTTCAGTCTTTCATTGTTGAGTATAATTTTACCTGTGTGTTTTGTTTTGTTTTTGCATATGACTTTTATTATGTTTAGGTAAATTCACTCTACTCCTGGTTTGCTGAGTGTTTTCCTCACAAAAAAAGTGTTGCATATTGTCTAATGCTTTTAGTGCATCAGCTGAGGTGATTGTTTTAATTTTTTTAAAGATGGGGTCTTGCTATGTTACACAGGTTGGTCTTAAGCTCCTGACCTCAAGCGATCCTCCTGCCTCAGAATCTCAAGTAGCTGGGATTACAGGTGCAAGCCACCACTTTGATCAGTTTTTGTTTGTTGAACTATCCTTGCATTCCAGAAATAAATTCTAGTTGTTCTTAGTACAAAATCTTTTTAATATGCTGTTGAATTCAATTTACTAATATTTGATTGATGGGTTTTTTTTGTTTTTTTTTTTTTTTTGAGACGGAGTTTCGCTCTTGTTACCCAGGCTGGAGTGCAATGGCGCAATCTCAGCTCACCGCAACCTCCGTCTCCTGGGTTCAAGCAATTCTCCTGCCTCAGCCTCCTGAGTAGCTGGGACTACAGGCATGCGCCACCATGCATAGCTAATTTTTGTATTTTTAGTAGAGACAGGGCTTCACTGTGTTGACCAGGATGGTCTCGATCTCTTGACCTCGTGATCCACCCGTCTCGGCCTCCCAAAGCGCTGGGATTATAGGCGTGAGCTACCGCACCCAGCCTGATTGATGGTTTTTGCGTTAATAATCATCAAGGATATTGGTCTGTAGCTTTCTTTATTTTCTTTTTGAGACAATCTCTCTCTGTCACCCAGGCTGGATTGCAGTGGTACGATCTTGGCTCATTGCAACCTCAGCTTCCAAGGTTCAAGCAATTTTCCTGCCTTAGCCTCCAGAGTAGCTGGAAAATGTGGCACATACACACCATGGAATATTATGCAGCCATCAAAAATGATGAGTTCATGTCCTTTGTAGGGACATGGACGAACCTGGAAACCATCATTCTCAGCAAACTGACACAAGAACAGAAAATCAAACACCGCATATTCTCACTTATAGATGGGTGTTGAACAATAAGAACACATGGACACGGAGGGGAGCATCACACACTGGGGTCTGTTGAGGGGAAATAGGGGAGGGACAGCAGGGGGTGGGGAGTTGGGGAGAGATAGCATGGGGAGAAATCCCAGATATAGGTGAAGGGGAGGAAGGCAGCAAATCACGCTGCCATGTGTGTACCTATGCAACAATCTTGCATGTTCTTCACATATAACCCAAAACCTAAAATGCAATTTTAAAAAAAAATGTTTTTTGTATTTTTAGTACAGATGGGGTTTCACCATGTTGGTCAGACTGCTGTCGAATGCCTAACCTCGTGATCTGCCCTCCTCAGCCTCCCAAAGTGCTAGAATTACAGGCATGAGCCACCACACCTGGCCCCATAGCTTTCTTTTCTTACACTATCTTCATGCCATTTGGAATCAGGGTAATGCTGGCCATATAGAATGAGTTAGAAGTGTGTGTGCTACAGTTTTTGAGAGATTTTGAAAAGGATACATGTTCTTAGTTAAGATTGGTAGAATTTATCTGTGAAGCCATCAGGTCCAGGGCTTTTCATTAAGGTTTGTCAGTGGTTTTTGTTTTGTTGTTGTTGTTGTTTGAGATGGAGTCTTGCTCTGTCTTCTAGGCTGGAGTGCAGTGGTGTGGTCGTGGCTCACTGAAACCTCGCTTTCTGAGTTCAAGCAATTCTCCTGCCTTGGCCTCCCAAGTAGCTGGGGTTACGGGCACACGCCACCACACCTGGCTAGTTTTTGTATTTTTAATAGAGATGGGGTTTCACCATGTTGACCAGGCTGGCCTTGAACTCCTGACCTCAGGTGATCCACCCACCTCGGTCTCCCAAAGTGCTGGGATTACAGGCGTGAGCCAGGTTTGTCAATTTTGTAACTTTTTCAAAGAAACACCTTTTAATTTTATTTTTGGTTCTATTGTTTTTCTCTTCTCTATTTTATTTATCTAGGCTTTAGTCATTATTTTTTTCCTGTCAGCTTTGGTTTTAGTTTTTTCTTCTTTTTATAATCTCTTAAGTTGTAAAAATAGATTGTTGAGATCTTTCTTCTTTTTTTACTCTGTTATCAAGCTGGAGTGCAGTGGCACGATCTCAACTTGCTGCCACCTCCGCCTCTTACGTTCAAGCAATTCTCCTGCTTCAGCCTCCAGAGTAGCTGGGACTACAGGCATACACCACCATGCCGAGCTAATTTTTGTATATTTAGTAGAGATGAGGTTTCACCATATTGGCCAGGCTGGTCTTGAACTCCTGACCTTGGATCCGCCCACCCCAGCCTCCCAAAGTGCTGGGATTACAGGCGTGAGCTACCGTGCCCAGCCTCTTCTTTTTTAATGTAAGTGTTTATAGCCACAAATTTCCCCTTTAGTACTGCTTTTACTGCATCTCAAGTTTTGGTAGGTTATTTTCATTTTCATTCATCTCTTAACTGTTTTCTAATTTCCCTTGTGATTTCTTTGTGGTGCCATTGGTTGTTCAATATTGTATTAATTTCTACAGATTTATAAATTTTTTACTTTCCTTCTGTTAAGAGTTTCCAACCTCATCCCATTGTGGTTGCAGAAGATACTTTGTATGATGTGTATCTTTCTAAATCTAGTGAGGCTTAATTTATGGTCTGTCCTGGAGTATGTTCTAGGTATATCTGAGGAGAATTTTATATTCTGTTGTTGTTGGGTAGAATGCTCTTTGTATATTTTTTTAGAGCTAGTTGGTTGGTTAGTTCCTCTGTTTTCTTACTTCTCTCTGATTGTTCTAGCCACTGCTGAGAGTCAGATATTGATGTTTCTAACTATGATTGTAGAACCATTCATTTCTCCCTTCAGTTCTGTCCATTTTTGCTTCATGTGGTTTTGTTTTGTTTTGTTTTGTTTTTTATATAAAGATGGTGTTTCACCATATTGGTCAGGCTGGTCTTGAACTCCTGACCTCAGGTGATCCACCCACCTCAGCCTCCCAAAGAGCTGGGATTACAGGCATGGGCCACCGTGCCCAGCTTGCTTCATGTGTTTTGATAGTCTATTATTAGGTGCATAAATGTTTATGAATGTTGCATCTTCTTGCTGTATTGAACCTTTTATTAGTTTATAATATCCTTTTAAATCACTTGTTACCCTTTTAGGTTTAAAATCTCTGTTCTATGATATTAGTGTAGCCTTTCTTTTTTTTTTTTTTTTTTTTTTTTTTTTTTTTTTTT